ATGTTAACAAGAATTTAAATAAAACTTGGAAGGAGAGAGAAATTAAAAATATAAAATAAAATCTTAAGAGAAAGAAAGAAACCAGAAAGGGAGAGCTCACGGGACTCAAGGAGAAAGAGGACAGCCAGATCGAGAGGAACAAAGACCTGGAGAAGGGATGCTATGGAGACAAGGCCCTCAGGAAGATGGGGATGGACAAGCCAGACCCCGAGGGTGGGGGTGGGAGGCAGCTGTGCATGAGGGAGGGGGTCGAGCAGTGCTTCTGGGGAAGAAGAGGCTGGTGGGGGAAGTCAGAGGCCTGCAGGGGCGAGGCGCCCGGCCTTACAGACACTGAGGACTGGGAGCTCTGTTCAAAGACCTAGGAAACCACCACAGGCTGCCAAGTGCTGGAATCCGGTTTCCCTTGCCCTCCTACCACCCCAAGCAGGGCAGGGACCACAGGGGGTCACTGATGGAGAGGGAACAGTTGTAGACCCGGCCAGGGGAGGGGGCAGTGGGATGGACAGAAGTGACAGCCTCCCAGGTCACACAAGGCCAGAGAGAGTAGGATCCCATTCATAAATGATCAGAATGGGCAAGTCTACAGAGACAGGAGGCTGACTGGTGGTGTCCACGGACTGGGGGCAGATGCAGGCTGGAAGGATGATGGCGGCAGGGCCCGCGGTCCCCTTGTGGGGTGACACAACTGTCCTACAATGACGTGGCAGTGGCAGCTGGACCCCCAACTCCAATGAGCGAGCGAATGGCATGTCGTTTCAGTGGGTGAACATGCCCATTACAGCTCAGTAGTCACAGCTGCCATTGAAAAGAGAACCTTCTGGAAGGTCAACACGAATGAAAAACATTCCGAGGCACAAGTGGGAGCATAACGGGAATAGTTGTTCCCCGGGTGGCATTAACAGCGCGGCTGTGTGGACCTTTTCGCTTCATCCCGTGTCCCCCCAAGAAGCTGGGAGCCATCACTGAGGCCGAGAACAGTCTGTGTCTGCTCTGGAGAACAGTGGGAGAGGCTGAGCTAGACCCACACCTCAACGCTCGCCCTCAGAGGAGCAGACACTGGAGCGGAGGCAGGGACACTGGACGGGCACCAAACCCGGGGAGGGGAGCGGAGACAGAGGGTGACGAGGGGCAGGGGATAGGCCTGGGGGCGCAGGCACACTCACCTGTCATGATTCCCACGTAGCAGTAGCTGTAGCTGAGCGTCTCCATCAGGGAGGGAACGTCGGGCAGGAGCCCCAGGCTGGGCCCCTTGCTGAAGCCGGAGGCCATTTCCTTCCTCTGGGCCAAGTGCAGGTCCTGCACTTCACTGGCCAGACTCACCAGCTGGGGGGAAGGGGCACGGGTGGGGGACAGTCAGACAGACCCCGGGACTTCCTCACCGCCCCGTACTGCAGCAGCAGAGGGATGCTGTGGCCAGCGTGCCCCTGGGAGCTGAGCGGGGAGCTGAGGTCCGTTCCTGCGGGCAGCGGGCTTCCGGAGTCCGGAGTGGCAGTGTAGCGGCTTCTCGCCAGCGGGTGTCCCCCACCGTCCCTCCTTGGCCTCTCCCCCTCTGTGCTCCCTTTTCTGGGTTTTTCTGCAGCCCATGCTTTGGTATCACCCATGCTCTCGGGATCTCCGAACTGTACCCCCAGACTGGGCTCCTCCCTCCAACCCCCAAACCCATCTCGGGGCCTCTGGCCATTGACAGTCCTAGGCCTCCGTGGTTCCTCAAACTTCACGCACCCAGAAGGGAACACGGGGTCACTCCCCAGAGCAGGTCCTTTTCTGGCCTGTCTCCTCGGCAACCGCACCAGCAGCCAATTAACTGCTCGGGCCAGAAACCTTCCTTCCTCTCCAAATCTAACCCCGGTCTCGGAGTCTGTCGCTTTTGGGTTGCTCCCCACCCCCACCCCCACCCCTGGGGCTGAATGCGTGTGGCCTGCCCGCCCCCCCACACCGGCCTGCTCCCTTCCACAAGCTGCTCCGACATCCGAAAGGCTCTCCCTCCAACTCTTGGCTAACCGACTCCTGCCTGTCCTCGCCTTCCCGTGGAGAAGGCAGGACGCGGGCGAGACCTGGTTCGCGAGCCCAGCACGTGGCAGCTCCTGACTTTTCAGTCTCCGGTGGGACCGGGGGGTTCCGCTTAGGTAAGTGCCTTCTCTCCCAAGCTGTTTCTCCTACTTCGCTAAATGGCTCGCTACCAACATGCAGTCCTCGAGAGCACGAGCACGTCGGGGAAGCACTCAGCCTCCGGGAAGCACACAGACGGCTATGCTAGGAGGGTGGGGGGCAGGGGGCGGGAATGTGCTTCTCTACCCCAGAGCATAGCTGGGAGGTGAGGGCCTGCCCCAGAGCACAAGAGAGGTGAAGTCCCACCCCTGGGGTGTGTGGGAGATGAAAGCCCGCCTCCCTTGCTCCCCTCCCTTGCTCCCCGGGGAGTGGGCGGGAGGGGGAGGTGAGGATGGGGAGATCCCCACGCACAAAGGGAGGGCTGGAGGGGAGTCTGACCTTCAGGGTGAGCAGCAGCTGGACGGCATTGGTGAAGGGCGTGGGAGTGGGCAGGCCCAGCAGGCTGAGAGCGCGGAAGAACAGGAGGTAGGAGAAGGTCCAGGCGAGGGCGAGGGCGTGGCAGGAGCTGAGGCAAAGGCAGAAGGCCGGCCGTGCTGGGTACAGAGCCCTCGCCTAGGCCTCCGCCAGATTCCAGCTACAGATCCTCCCCCACCTCCCACAGAAAATGGGGGAGGGACCGTGGAAGAAAGGGCACAGCCACACAGAAACGCACCATGACAGAGAAGAGAATGAGGAGGGCTCAAGAGAGGCTTTCGGGTGAAAACCCTCCAGTCCTCCATTTTTTCTGCGGGAGACAAGAAAAAGGAGGGAGAGAGACATGATAGAAACGCGAATGGTAGCAGGGCCTGCACAAGTCCTCCTTTCTCCTGAATACATGAACTGGATCTCAGGGACCAGGTGAGACACACAGGGACGAGACCCAGAAGAGGCAGGAGAGGAAGAAAAACAGACGCACCCACACAGAGAATTCAGAGATAAACAAGAGACACCCAGAGACAAAGGCAGAAAGGGAGACAAACCCAAAGAGGATAACAGGTTGCTTCCTCCTCCCCCCCCGCCCCCCCCCCCCGTTTCCCCCCTCCCCAAACCCTCCCCACCGAATCCTCACCAGGGCTGGGCCTGAATGAGGGCCCAGGTCCCAAGGATGGTGACCAGAGAATGCAAAGTGTGGGGGCCACAGGTGAACAAGGTGAGCCCCAGGCCCACAGCTGCTGCCCCCCATCTCTTCAGCCCGGGTCCTGCAGAGAGAAGGGACAGCATAAGCCTGGAACCTTCCAGGGAGTCCCCTGCCTGCCCCCCCCCATCTTCCACTAGGGAGGGAACTTGACTCACCAGCTTTCTTAAAGAGGAAGCCGATAGGGATGGAGATAAGAAGAACCACTAGATAAGTCCACTCTTCAGGCGACATGGTCTGGGGGAGGGGCAGAGATTCACGGTGAGAACCCAGGAGTCCGGGCCTTCACCCCTCCCCCTCGGAGGATTCAGGAATTCACTCTCCCTAGTCCCCAGCTGTCGAGGATCATGGAGTCCCACCCTAGCTCCTCTCCTCTGCGAAGAGGGGAATCCGGACCTCCAGAACCTTCCTCCCTTGAAGATAAAGAAATCCACCCCCAGCCCCGCTTTTCTGAGAACCCAAGCCACCAGTTGTCTTCTCCTGGAATCCAGACCTCTCAGCCCCTCTGCGATCGGAGAAATCAAAGCTACTCCCCCCTCACTGAAGACCCAAAGATTCAGACATCGCCTTCTGAGAACCCAGCAACAACCCTTGTCCCGGGCCCTTCCCGCGGAGAGCCCAAGATTCCAGAGCTCCCAGTCTCCTCCTCCTCCGAGGATCCAGGGACCCGGCGGGCCTCCCTCTGCGGGAACCCAGGCTCCGGCCTCCACCTGCTCCGGAGCTGCAGACGCTTCTCCCACCCAAAGCCCGGAGGTCGCCCCCTCCAGCTCCTCCCCAGCTCCCCCCCAGCTCAGGTCAGACCTCCCCGGCAGAGCCACAGGCGGTTACGCCACTCCCCGCTCGGCCGCGCTCTCGGTGCCACGCCCGCCCCGGTCGGCCCGCGGGTCCGCAGCCACCCCCCAACCCGGCCCCGCCCCGGCCCACCTGGGCCCGGCTCCGCGCCGCTCGCCGGGCGGGAGGCGGCCGAGCAGTCCCGGCTCACCGGCGCCCCGGCTCCGGCCACGCCTCCCCAGTCCAGCGCGCGCCGCTCCGTCGCGGTCCCGCCCGGGCCGGGTGCGCGGCTCCGTCAGGCTGCGGGCCAGGTAGGGAAGCGGCGGGCTCCGAGCGCCGGAGAGGACCACTCCGCCGCAGCACCTGGACCGCACGGCAACCGAGCCAGGAGCACGTAAAGAGGCGGAGCCTCGGGCTTGCCAGAAGGAGGGGCCCGAAGCTTCGGGAGGAGGCGGGGCTTCCGCTTCGGGTTCCTTTGGCCACAATCGGCGGCAGTTTGGAGGCGGGGCCACGAGTTTCGGTCCCTGTTCGGATGTAGGCGGGGCCAAGAGCTTCGGCCGGAAGTGGGCGGAGTCACAGGCCCTGTTTGACTCAGATTAAGAGATAGGCGGAGTCCCGGGTAGAGGGTAAGAAGGAGGCGGGGCCACAGGCTTAAGCAACACGAAGGGAGGCGGTGATCTGGATCGTTCCAAGGGGGCGGGGTTAACAGCAGTCCAGCCTGAGGGGGCGGGACCCCAGCTGACGTGTACGCTACTAGGGCGGGACCAAGGTATTTAGCCTCACTTTTTCTAGAGGCGGAGCCCAAGCGGCTGGGGGAGGTTCGCTTCGCGAGGGCGGGACCAAGGTGTGCCACTCCACGGGAAGGCGGGGCTACGGCGCCACTGGGGGCGGATCCCAGACTTCCCGCTTCGCTGAGGTGGCGGCGTGACGAAATTGACGCAGGGGGTCGGGATGGGGAGGGGTGGAGGAAGCGGCGCGTGGCGCGCTACGTAGGGGGTGGCTCCGCCGGGAGTGAGAGCTGGTGTTTACGAGGTGACTGGTTCTGTCGGAGGACGGTGCGGCATTCTGAGGAGAACGCTCGCGAAGTGGGTGAGCCCGCCCGAGCGGGGAACGGACAGCGGGTGTTCAGTGGGAGGAGCCTCCGGCTGTGGGGTTCGCTCAGTGGGGCGGGTACTCCCCTACCGGGAGCGCTGGCGGCCGGAGGAGGCGGGGCCTGGCTGCGCGGTTGACGGGAGCCGAGGGCGCCCGAACCCCGAGCCATCGGCCTTCGGGAGGGGGCGGGGCTGTGAGTTCGGCCGAGCCGAGAGGTCCGGGCGGGGGCGGGGCTTCCACGGTGGGCGTCTCACTCCGCGTGAGGAGGTTCTGAGGCCACGCCGCGGTGGTTTGGTAAGGGGAGGGGCCCAGTCCCGAGACACTCGAGGGGGCGTGGCCCCGCACTAAGGGAGCCTTCTCTCCGAGCGGAGAAGGCGTGAAGGCCGGAACACTGACCTCAGGGTCCGGGGGGCCCAGCGGCGCCCTAGCGACTCGGCGCCCAGGGGGAGGGGCCCGGCCTGGAGAATCGGCAGGTGGCGAACGTGGCCCGGGCGAGGCTCCACCCTCCAGGCTTAGGGGCGGGGCCTCGCTGAGACCCTCCACCCCCACCCCACCCCAGGCGGTGGGAGCGCTGTGTCGGTGACCGCTGTGCTCCCCTGGCTTCCGCAGGAGGATGCTGGTGGTGGAGGTCGCGAACGGCCGCTCCCTGGTATGGGGGGCCGAGGCGGTGCAGGCACTGCGGGAGCGTCTGGGAGTGGGGGGCCGCACGGTGGGCGCCCTGCCCCGCGGGCCCCGCCAGAACTCGCGCCTGGGCCTCCCGCTGCTGCTGATGCCCGAAGAGGCGCGGCTTCTGGCGGAGATCGGCGCCGTGACCCTGGTCAGCGCCCCGCGCCCGGATCCGCGCCAACACAGCCTGGTAAGGCGCGGGCCAGGGACGCGAACGCCCTGGACCTGCGGAAGTAGACTCGGGGTCCCTGCGGTGGGAGGGCTTCTGGGCGCCCTGGATTCTGGAATAGTGTGTATGCAGGACACTAGGATCCCCGGGTTCGGGCTTTGGGGTTGGGAGGAGTCAGGGAGTCGGGGTTCCTGGCTTCCTAAGGCGGGGCAGACTTGGATCCTGGCATTCCCGCCGGCTTACTTCTCAGGCTCTGGCATCCTTCAAACGCCAGCAAGAGCAGGGCTTCCAGGAGCAAAGCGCCCTGGCAGCTGAGGCCCGCGAGATTCGTCGTCAGGAGCTCCTAGAGAAGATTGCGGAGGGCCAGGCTGCGAAGAAGCAGAAGCTGGAACAGGAGTCAGGGGTCAGCGAGAGCCAGGGGGCCGGTGCGAACCCGGCTGCCGCGGAGAGTGAGGCCAGCGCTAGCCAGGCTCCTGCGGAGCCCGAGGAAGCAGGTGAGGGTGGGAGTGGAGTCCAGGGGCCAGCGGAAGGAGGTGGGAGATCTTTGGGGAATCTTGGGCGGGAAGCTCGGATCTGGGTCCCTCTGGGGGATGGGAAAGCCTGTCCTTGCGTTCACCGCTCTCTCCTGCATTCACCGCCCCCAGGTTCCTCTTCTCCCCAGCCAGGGCCTTCAGATGAGGTGGCCCCTTTGCCCAGGTCCGCCCTGCTGGTCCAGCTGGCCACTGCTAGGCCTCGGCCCATCAAGGCGAGGCCCCTGGATTGGCGTGTCCAGTCCAAAGACTGGCCTCATGCTGGCCGTCCTGCCCATGAGCTCCGCTACAGCATCTACAGAGACCTGTGGGAGCGAGGCTTCTTCCTCAGTGCTGCTGGCAAGTTCGGGGGTGACTTCCTGGTCTATCCTGGTGAGTTTTGTTGGGACCTCCTATTGCTGCCCCTTTTTTGACAAGCCCCCGACCCTCTGCATTTTTCTTTTTTGTCTTTTCTCAGCCTCTGAAACCCATAGAAGGACAGGAACACTTGGGAACCCAAGCCCATGTGGAGGGCGATTTAGCAAATCTGATTAAGCACTTTCTTTGATCCAGAGGTTTCACTTAGAGACACCTAGCTATGTGCACAGAACATACAGGAAATCGTCGTTGCGGGATTCTTTACAGTAGTGAAATATTAGTGAGCAGCCAGAGTGATTGTTAATAGGTTAGTGGTTACTTATTGGTGTTAGTTGTCAAAGATTAATGTAGGTCCACGTACATTTATGAAAAAATGACCAAAGGGGGAAGGAAAAAAAGAAAGAACCACGTGTCGAAAACAGGTATGGCAAAAAGTGAATTGTGTTTTATGTTGTCATGGAGTTATATACACATTATTTAAATAGCCTTAAAAATCATGGCTTGCGGGGCCCCTGGCGGGCTCAGTTGGGGGAGTATGCTACTCTTGATCTCAGGGTTGTAGGTTCAAGCCTCACGCTGGGTGTAGAGATTACTTAAAACTATATGGCTCGAGTGAAAGAACATGAGAAGAACTTAAAATGGATAACTGACTAGAAAGCAAGTAGCAAATGGAAAAAGGCCTGAAAGGACGTACTTCAGCCCAAGTACAGCGGTTACCTCTGGGAGGGAATTTGCATCAGGTGTAGGTAAAGGAGATTTTCAGTGTACCAGGTAATTTTTGAATTTGTAGTATGAGTGCCTTTACTGTCTAACTAAAAGGCTAAAAAAGTAAGTCTACAGGAAATCGCCTTTTTTGTTCCTCCTGAGAACACAGGCAGATAGAAGCACCAGGTAAGTAGTCAGATCTTAGCTGTTGGCTGGAGACTGAAGGATGAGCTACAAGCCTTCGTGTCTTCTCAGACCAAGCACTCAACTGAGGGACTGACTCAGGAGCTGAGAGCAGTTCACCGCCCCATGCTCTGCAGATGACCACATGGTCATACCTTGCTACTGTTTTTCTGTATGTGAAAGACTATTTTGGTTTTGAAAATGGATGTTGGACTCACGAAACATATGGATACTAATATCTAGTTCTTTTCTAAGCTTTCAGGTCAATTTACAAATCTTTTTTTCCAATCTAGCAGATTTTAAGGGGACTGTTAGTCCGCGTTTGATCCCACTCGTGAAAGGAGTTACATAATTTTCAATGTTATAAGCTGCATTTAAAATTTTTTTTTGAAGATTTTGTTTGTTTATTAGATAGAGAGCACAAGCAGGGGGAGTGGCAGGCAGAGGGAAAGGGAGAAGCAGGCTCCCCACTGAGCAGGGAGCCCAATATGGGACTCGATCCCAGGACCCTGAGCTCATGACCTGAGCCAAAAGCAGACGCTTAGCGGACTGAGCCACCCAGACACCCTTGCATTTTAAATTTTAATATGTTTATTTTCCTTTTTAAGTTGTAGGGTGTCCTCATTATGGAACTTGTCAAAAACTCAGATCTAATAAGTTGTAAATGGGGTGAGTTTTAAGTTTATGTGTTCTAATTCTGTCAGTAGGCTTACTAAAACATTCCAATTAAAACAAGGTTAAATCCACCAGTAACTCAATCACACATCTGAAACTGAACTGCACGGCTGACCTGTTAGTTCTAATGGGTCAATATTTCTAAAACAATACATACTCAGTAAATGTGATGTACGTAGGATCCTTGCCCCCCGAAGATGAAAATATTCAAGGACTGAGGCTCTCGCCTGTCTCCAACAGTAAAGGTGTCCGAACTTAAAAGGCACTAAACCTCCTGGAACAGTTCCGGGAACTTCTCACGTATTCTGATGCTTCCTCCTGAGCGGGCAGAGCTGTCCCAGCGACGCCCGGCTCCTAGCTCCTGGCTGGACACCCAGCGGACGGTCCTCTCAGATGGGATGCCTCACCGCCCTTCCTTTGTCGATGTTCACTCCTGGCACTTACCAACCTCTGACTGGGGCCTGACTCCGGCTCCTGCTCTGCTTGGACGGATTTACCTAATCGGGGGCAGACCGCCACCCAGGTTTTAAAGGGAAAGCTACTGGGAGGCAGCCCCGGCCGTTTGTTCCATATGGCCTGTGGCTCAGGCGGAGCCAGTGGCAGAGGCGAGCCCTTGTAATGTGGCCGACAAACCTGCAAGTATTTACTGTTGGGCCCTTGTGTGGAACATCTTCATCGCTCATCTGTTCATTACTCCATCGCATTGTGAATTCTTCCTGTGGTCGGTTAGAGTCACTTCTCCTTGGACCTGACATCCTGTGCACTCCTCGTGGCTTTGAGGGACTTCGTGGTCCTGGTGCTTATGTCACGACAATGATCTATTCAGTTAACTGTTTTGTCTCGTTTTTTTAAATGCGATCATGCTGTATGCGTATGACGGCTTGCCCCGAGTGTATCCTGCACCTCCCCACCCGGATACATTCTTGTCATTTTAACAGCTGGTCTTGTGGTGAGACCATGAACTTAGCAAGTCCGTGGTTTGGTTGTCTCCCTTTCTTAGCGGTTGTAAATGGTAACAGGGTGAACATCTTCATAGGTATATCTTAGTACTGTTATCCTTATAGGTAAAAAATTCCAAGAGGTGGAATTGCTGGGTCCGAGAATAGCTATTTTGAAATATTCATAGTGATTACTAAGCTGATTCCTGTCTCCTACCTGTGCACGTTCCAGTGTCTTCCAGCGCTCTGCCACTGGGACCTTCTGTGTGTCTGTCTTTCACCCAGGTGACCCACTTCGTTTCCATGCCCACTACATTGCTCAGTGCTGGGCTCCGGGGGACCCCATTCCACTGCAGGACCTGGTTTCTGCTGGCCGCCTGGGAACCAGCGTCAGAAAGACGCTGCTGCTCTGTTCTCCTCAGCCTGATGGTAAGGTGGTCTACACGTCCCTGCAGTGGGCCAGCCTGCAGTGAGTGACTCCAGAGACCCGTGGGGATGTGGCTGCGTCTGTGGACAGAGCCTTTCCAGATGGTCCCAAGCTCATCTCTGCATAGGGGAGGCTGCGAACCCTCCTGCCTCTCTCTACAGTTAGGTTTTGACTCCGGATCTAGAAACACTACATCCTTCTTATTTCCCTCCCTGTTTCAAAGCACTTACTGGTTGTGACGTTTTGTAGTTCCTGTTGCCACAGTGTGAGCTTCTTGAGGGTAAAGACGGGGTTTGTTTCATCTCTGGTTTCTACAGGGCTTAGGTCTCAAGAGGGCTCAGTAAACGTGTTGAATAAATGTGGAGTCTGTGATTTGAATCCGGGTGACAGTCCTGGGAAGTGTGGGTGTTTGCATTTGCTTATATGGATGAGGGAAAGGCCCGGAGGAGGTCACGCCTCTAGGAGGTAGCCCGCTGGGCTGGGAGTTAAAACCTGGTCTTTCTGAGTCCAAGGTCTGCACTCTCCCCCCCACACTAAACTTTCTTTTGAGAAGATCTTCACGAAGCGTTTCAGGTGCACACAAAGGCATAAATCAAAGTAACACGTGAAGAGAAGAAGGACATGAGTGTTGCACTTTCCGGACAGGTTTGGGTTGGGGAGGGGAAGGTCAGGAAGGACTCGTGGGGCTGGTGGAATGCGGGTGGGGTTCTTTTTCTTGGCCTGGGTGGTGTTTATTCAGGTGTGTAGAATTCTATTTTATACCATACATTTATGATCCGGGTCTTTTTTTCTACATATATTCTATTAAAAGCTGAAACACGTATGAATAAAGTACACATTGTGAGATGGTTCCTATAGCTGCCTTTCTGCTTAAGAAACTACTTGAACGTTATCAGCACCCACTTCCAGTATTTACGTGTCTATTTTTAAAATGTGTACTTTCGTCCCATGGATTTCGTTACTGAAACACTGTCACATGGTCATGATTCTGGGGCTGAAAGCATCTCTCTCTAGTTTCCCAATTTCTGTGGCACCTGTTCCTTCTTTCTTTCCTACCCTTTTCAGTAAACAGATTTGTTCGAACCTCAATTTCCTGTAAGCTTAGATTAATTTAAAACAGGACACCAACCCCTGCCCAGTTAACACTGTTCTTTGGGCCTCTTTGGTAACTGGCTTGTAAATATGTTGCCCAGGCTCTCTCTTCTTTGCAACAGAGTTCTTAACTGACTCAGTACTCAGTATCTCTGTCTTGAGTCTTCCCTTAAAAAATTCCTCATTACAAAACTTGTGGATGGGGGGTTCCTGGGTGGCTCAGTCGGTTAAGTGTCTGCCTTTGGCTCAGGTCATGGTCTTGGAGTCCTGGGATGAAGCCCCACATCGGGCTCCCTGCTCAGCAGAGAGTAGGCGTCTCCTTCTCACTCTCCCTCTATGCTCTCTCTCAAAAAATAAAATCTTTAAAAAGAAAAGAAAACAAAAAAAAGTTGTGGGTGCCTGGCGGGCTCAGTCAGTGGAGCATGTGACTCTTGATCTCAGGGTCATAAGTTTGAATCCCATGTTGGGCCTAGAGCTTACTTTAAAAAACAAAAAACAAAAAACTCAAAAGGACATCCACACGCACACAAAAAAAGGGCACCTGGGTGGCTCAGTTGGTTAAGCATCTGCCTTCAGCTCAGGTCATGATCCCAGGGTCCTGGGATTGAGCCCAGCATCGGAGCAGGGATCCTGCTTCTCCCTCTCCCTTCGCCCCTCCCCCTGCTCATGAGCTCTCACCCTCTCTGTCCTTCTTAAATAAATAAAATCTTTATTAAAAAAAATACAGACACAGACTTTACACTCTTTACAAAAATTAACTCGGGGCGCCTGGGTGGCTCAGTGGGTTAAGCCGCTGCCTTCGGTTCAGGTCATGATCTCAGAGTCCTGGGATCGAGCCCCGCATCGGGCTCTCTGCTCTCTAGGGGAGACTGCTTCCTCCTCTCTCTCTGCCTGCCTCTCTGCCTGCTTGTGATCTCTCTGTCAAATAAATAAATAAAATCTTTAAAAAAAAAATGAACTCAAAATGCATCATAGGTCTCAGTATAAAATGCAGGGCTAGTCAACTCATGGGGGATAACAGAAAACCTAGCAGACCATGGGTGTGGCGGCGACACTTCAAACACACCACCAAAGGTGGGGCCGATGAGGGAATTGATAAACTGGACTTCATTAAAATGAAACACAGAACATATTGCAAAAGACAGAACTGATAAAGGACCGCTGTCCAAAAAATATATATCATTCTTAAAACTCAACAACAGGAAACAGCCCGACCAGGGGCGCTTGAATGGCTCAGCTGGTTAAGCACCCAACTTTTTAATTTTTTTTTTTTTTTTGTAAGTAGGCTCCATGCATGGAGCCTAATACAGGGCTGAACTCACAACCCTGAGATCAAGACCTGAGCTGAGATCAAGAGTGAGAAGCCCAACTGTCTCAGCCACCCAGGCGCCCCCTAAGCATCTGATTCCTGATCTCAGCTCACCTCTTGATCTCAAGGTCATGAGTTCAAGCCCCACGTTGGGCTCCATGCTCAGCATGGAGCCTACTTAAGAACAAAACAAGAACCTAACCCCCCAGCCCCCAGAATAGGCCTAAAACCTTAACAGACACCTCACGGAAGGAGTTCTACTGACGGCACGTGAGCGCATGAAAAGTTGCTCCATATCCTGTGCCATCTGAGACATGCAAAGGGAAGCAACGATGAGATACAACTATATGCCTATCAGAGTGGCCAAAATCCAGAACGCTGACACCACCAAATGCTGGGGAGCTGTGGAGCAACAGGGGCCCTCGTTCTTTGCTGGTGGGAACACAGAATGATACAGCTACTTAGGAAGACAGTCTGGAGATTTTTTTTTATAGTTTTGTCCAATTTATTTATTTTTTTAAAGATTTTATTTATTTATTTGACAGAGATCACAAGCAGGCAGAGAGGCAGGCAGAGAGAGGAGGAAGCAGGCTCCCCGCCTAGCTGAGAGCCCGATGCGGGGCTTGATCCCAGGATCCTGGGATCATGACCCGAGCTGAAGGCAGAGGCTTTAACCCACTGAGCCACCCAGGCGCCCCAGTCTGGAGATTTCTTATAAAACAGAATATACTCTCAGCTGTGCAGTTGGTGCGACTGTCTCCAGCAAGGATGTTCCTTGGTATTGATCTAAAGGAACTGAATATGTGGGACCCCACAAAACCCTGCGCATGGATGTTTACAACAGCACCGCTCATCATGGCCAGAACCTGCGCACAACCAAGATGTCCGTCGTAGATGGTGGACTAAGCCAGCTGGCCCGTCCAGACAACGGGCTGTCCTTCAGTGCTGAAGAGCCGGAATATCAAGCCACGAGAAGACATGGAGGAACCTCAAATGGACATTACGACGCGAAAGCAGACCATCTGAAAAGGCTGCATGCTGTATGATTCCAACTGTAGGACGTTCTAGAAAAGGCACAACTGGAGACAGTAAAACGATGAATGATTGCTGGAGGTTCGGGGGGTGGGACGAACAGGAGGGGCACAGATTTGGAGGCCAGTGAAGCGACTCTGTGTGAGACCATAGTGGTGGATACGGGCCGCTGGACAACTGTCCGAACCCACAGCGTGCACAACACCACGAGGGGCTGCTACGCAAGCTGTGCACTCTGCTGATGACCACTGATGGAGGCTCATCAGCGGTGACAAATGCGGCCTCTGGTGGGGGATGTCGATAGTGGGGAGACCGGGCATGAGTGGGGTTTGGGTGCAAGGGAAATCTCTGTGTCTTCCTCTCAATTTTGCCATGAATCTAAATTTGTCTAAAAAACCCCTATGGGGGCGCCTGCATGGCTCAGTGGGTTAAAGACTCTGCCTTCGGCTCAGGTCATAATCTCGGGGTCCTGGGATTGAGCCCCGCATCGGGCTCTCTGCTCAGTGGGGAGCCTGCTTCCCCCTCTCTCTCTGCCTACTTGTGATCTCTGTCAAATAAATAAATAAAAATCTAAAAAAAAAAACAAAAACAAAAAAACAAAAACCCCTATGCGTGCCACCTTCCGAACGCTGCAGACCTATATCTGACCACTCCACTTTCATGGCCAACATGTGGGCAGAAGCGACATTATTCACAGGGAGGATTGCGGTACCTTCCGGGCTCCTCACCTCCTCGGATTCCATCGTTGCCCCCGTATCCTCTGTTTTCAACAGAATGACTGGCGTCCTGTCCCAGTGACCCATCATGTGGGTCAGACAATGTCCCTCTTCTTCAGAACTCTCCAGCAGTTTCCCATCTCAAAGTAAAAGCAAAGGGCCCATGTTGTCTGTTCCCCATCCCCATCTGCATCTCTTATCCATGCTTATGCTGCCCCTATCGCTCTACCTGGAAGGCTCTTCCCCTAGTGGCCTCATGGTCTCGTCCCCCACTGCCTGCTGGTTTCCTGCAGCGTCACCTCCTCAGGCCTTCCGTGGTAACCCTACCTTAAAATTTAACAGCCTTCCTGGATGCCCCTTCTCTCTCGCTTTATTTGCCTTACCGTTTATCACTAGTGTGATTTATAATGAGAAATTTGCATTGGGCCTTCATCCCCATTCCTGGCTCAGACCTCCTAACAGGCTTGCAATTTCCTAAGAGCAATAAAGGAGTCGATATTCCTAAAAAAGCCCTTTCAACCACACCTGGGTTTATATTAATGAGATGACCCCCAGGGAGGGGAGAGGAGCTGAAGGTTGGGTCACTCATGAATTGCCAGCGATGTAATTGTGGATGTAATAAAGCCACCATACAAACCCCCAAGAATGGGATTTGAGAGCTTTTGGGTGGATGCGTATGTGGCGATGGGGGGGAGTGGCCCCCTTGGAGAGGACATGGAAGCTCTGTGCCCTCTCCCCACGCCTAGCTCTAGGCAGCTCTCCCATCTGCTGTTCCTGAGTTACATTCTCCCGTAATAAACCAGTGATCAGGGAGGTAAAATGTTCCTCCGAGTTCTTTGAGCTGCTTTAGCAAATTAATGAATTGGAGGAGGGGTTTGTGAGAAACTTCAGTCTGGAGATGATGCATATAGTTAGTTTTTCGTATATTCAACAATTTAGTGACTATCGACTACAGCTGAACCTGACGCAGATAAGTAGAACAGGTGAGGCCCTGCCCTCCTATAACTTTTTCATCTGGGAGCTAATCTACAAACAAGAGAACAGGAATGAACTGGGTAGCTGGGAAGACCTCGCAGTACCTGGTGACAGTAATAGGATAACGTGGGCACGACCCCATTTCACAGAGGAGGACGCCGGTGCAGAGAATGGTGGAGAAACTTGTCCAAGGGATTTGGGTGAGCAAGCGGCTGCAGGTTTCAACCCAGGAATCTGGCTAGAGTGGGGCTGCCTCCGAGGAGGGGACGCTGCCCGCTATGAGCACAGAGCACCGAGCAGTGCTGAAGAGGGCAGCTATGGGGCCAGGCTGTCCCAGCTCCAACCTTGGCCTGACCTCCTTTGTTAAGAGACTGCATGGGCAAACGGACGGTGGCCACACCAGCTACAAAGATAGGATTCTGATCCACAGCCTGCAGCAACATGCCCAGGAGGCCACCCTGCCACCTCTAGTAGCAGAGTGGGAAGCCACACGATACCCTTGTAACAATCGGTCCAAACTGGCCAGGACTTGACTGATAGCAGACGGCTTCCCTAATTTTTGTCCCTGGCTCTAATTTAAGACCAGCAAGAGAAAGCCAAGTATGCTCCCCTAACCGATAACGCAGGACAACGCCTTCTAGGGAGGCTGTCTCCACTGCCCGGGGCACATCGGCTCTGGTCAAAGCTCCAGGGCAACTTTCCAAGGTTTCCACTGTAGGCTTGCCCCCTCCTCCGCCCGTCTGTGAGCTCCTGCCTAATAGCCCCCTTTCAAAAAAAAAAAAAAAAAAAATTCTATTTATTTATCTATTTTTAAAGATTGTAATTTATTTTAGCAAGAGAGACAGATACAGACACAGCACAAATGGGAGGAGGGAGAGGGACAAACGGACTCCCCCTGAGCACAGAACCCCATGACGGGCTCCGTTCCGTGATATGGAGGATCATGACCTGAGCTGAAATCAACAGTTGGCCACTTACCCAACTGAGTCACGCAGGTGCCCCGTCACGTCCGTTCTCGCTTATTCCCACATTGTGTAATCTGGGGCAAGCTCTGTAGCCACCTTTTGGGGCCTCAGTCTCTGCCTCTGCAAAACAGGCCTGATCATAGTGTTAGTGGTCTTTGGGTGTCTACCATGGTGCTATCGCAGGGTCGGGCAGCTTCTCTGAGGGGACTCCTGGTGCCTGTTTTGAGGACAAGGTAAGTTACTATATGCAAAATTCTTTTTTTTTTTTTTTTAAGATTTTATTTATTTATTTGACAGAGAGAGATCACAAGTAGACAGGCAGGCAGAGAGAGAAAGGGAGAAGCAGGCTCCCTGTCGAGCAGAGAGCCCGATGTGGGGCTCAATCCCAGGACCCTGAGATCATGACCTGAGCCGAAGGCAGAGGCTTAACCCACTGAGCCACCCAGGCGCCCCACTATATGCAAAATTCTTAGCCTCGCACATTTAAGGTGCTCATTAAACACGATCTAACACTGATCAGTGAAGCTGTTGGCGTGAATGGCGTTTCTCTAGACAGGAAGGGGCTGGAGGGAATACGGGCTCAACTCTCTTCAGGGCGCTCCCCAGATAACTGCGTGCTTTACAGGTTGAAGGTTTCTGCAACCCTGACTCCAGTGAATATACTGGTGCCATTTTCCCAACAGCTTTTGCTCACTTCGTGTCTCTGGGTCACATCTGGGTAATTATCCCAATATTTCAAGCTTTATCATCATCATTGTGTGTGTGTGTGTGTGATGGTGACCTGTGATCAGTGAGCTTGGATGTCACTATCATCGTTTTGGGGCACCACAAACCACACCCACATAAGACAATGAATGTGTGTTCTCGCCGCCCCATCAGCCTACCGTTCCCCGTCTCATGCCCTCTCCCCGGGCCTCCCTGTTCCCTGAGACCCGGCAGTACTGAGATGAGGCCGGTTAATACTCCCACCGTGGCCTGCCAGGGTCCTGTGAAAGGAAGAGCTGCACGTCTCTCCCTCTAAATCCAGCGCGAGACCTGACTAAGCTTAGGGAGGGAGGCGGGTCGAAGGCCAACTCGGGCCCAGAGCCAGGTCTGTTGCGGCAAACGGCCCCGCCGTAAGCACAGAGGGAAAGGTCGCGAACGCTATTGCAAGAGCTCAGCCCGAGCAAGGCCCTGACTCCCTTCAATTCTGTGAAGGCCCAGGGAGGCGTGGAGCCTGCACACCCGTCTGAAGCCCGCAGAGGTGGTTCGGCAGGTGGGAGGAAAGAAGCCGTCCCCAGGACAGCGCTACGTGAAGCAGCCGGTGCTGACCGAGGAGCCGCCACGAGTTACCCGGAGCCAGCTGACGTGATCCGCCACGGCGGCTGCGCTAACCACGGGTCTCCGGTGTGCACGGAACAGCCTCCCGCCGGCGGAGGACGCCGTGTAGGACTCTCATCACTGGAGAGAAGTCAGCGCCGGCCTCAGAGCCGCAGAGGACAGGCTGAGTCCTGCCAGGGCCTAAGGCAGCTGGGGCTTCGAGCTGGAGCCCACGCTCAGGGACACTCTGAGACTCCTAGGGCCCTTGGGGATGATGCTGCATCTCCTCTGCCTGGGCTCCGTCGCGCAGCGGCAAAGCCTGGATGGCGGCCGTGTCTTTACAACACGGTTACTGAATATCTTCAGCCCAGTCTTGAGACCTACTGCTCAGAGGGAAAACAACCATCCTTGTCCCTGGTGACAATGCACCTGGTGACCCAGGGGCTGCGATGGGGATGTTCGACGAGATTAATGTTGTGTTCACACCTGCGAACACAACACCCGTCCTGCAGCCCCTGGATCAAGGCGTCCTTTCAACGTCCAGGTCTTAGCATGAGCAAACACCATTGGCAAGGCCGCAGCTGCCTTAGTGACGGCTCTGATGCAGCGGGGCAAAGTCGACTGAAAACCTTCTGGAGAAGACTCAGCATTCTAGACGCCATTAAGGGCACTTGGGATTTGGGGCGCCCGGGTGGCTCAGCCGGTTAAGCATCCGACTCTTGGCCTCAGCTCAGGTCTTGATCTCAGGGTAGTGAGTTCAAGCTCTGCACTGGGCTCTACGCCTGTGGAGGCTACTTTAAAAAAATAAAAGAACATTTGTCATTCACGGGAAGAGCTCCAAATACCAGCCTTAACAGGCGTTTGGAAGAAGTGGATTCCAACCCTCATGGGTGACTCTGAAGGGCTCAAGGCTTCGGGGAGGAAGTCACTACCGGAGTGTTGGGGAGAGCAAGAGAACCGGAAGTCGCCGTGGAGCCAGAAGAAGGGACTGCACCGCGGCAAGCTCACGGTCAAACTCGAACGGACGAGGAGCCGCTTCTGAAGGAGCAGCAAGGAGAGGGCTTCCCTGAGTCGGAAGCTACTCCTGGAGAAGATGCTGTGCACGTCGTTGAAGTGACAACCGAGGATCTGGACTATCTCACAGACTTGGTAAACAGTGGCAGGGTTTTAGAGCATCGACTCCGATTTTGAAAGCAGCTACAGAAAGCAGTTCTACTGCGGTTAAATGCTGGCATACAGCAGCACCTGCCACTGAGAAGTTTGGAAAGGAAGAGTCGATCGATGGGGCAAACTTCACTGTTGTCTTATTTTCAGAGTCTCCCCAGCCACTCCATCTTCAGCACCCGCCACCCTGTCCAGGCAGCAGCCACCAGCACAGAGGCAAGACCCTCTGAAAACAGGAAGATTACGACTCGCTGACAGCTCAGGTGATGATTAGCATTGTTAGCAATAAGGTATTTCCCCAACTGTGGTGTGTACATTGTCTTTTTAGACATAATGGTATTGCACGCTTAATAGACTACAATATTATGTAAGTGTAACTTTTTTTTTTTTCTGAGAGAGAGAGTGAGGGGGAATTTTGGGGAGGGAGGGCGAGAGAGTCTTAAACAGACTCCACACTAAGCACAGAGCCTGGCTGGCACTTGATCTCACGACCCTGAGATCATGACCTGAGCCGAAATCAAGATTTAGCTGCTCAGCTGACAGAGCCACCCAGGCACCCCAGGCATAACTTTTCTATCCATCAGAACACTATGGCCATGGCCATGACCTACCATATCAGGCTGCTCGGGATAGGTGTGTGTGCTGGGACGCGTGTGACCCCTCTGCTGAGCCTCAGTGGGCTTTGGGCTCACATCATCACATCGCCTGAGCAAGTGAGCTAGGTATCATTTAAAAAGCTGCCTCCGTGCCACTGGTCCCAGTAGAAATCTAGTGGTAAGAGACATGAGCATGTGTGCAACTGGAACCATCCACGATGAGCTGGGTGTGGTCCTGTCCACTCAGTCCTGTTTGCAGCCCACTGCTGAGTAGGTGGTGGGGCTGGGCCCCCGAGCAGGTTCAGACGACAAAGACGGAGTTACGTGCACACACCTACATGCCTACCCCGTCACAACGACACCTCTCTTCGGTGGTCATCAACAGCTTTGCGGCCTGGGTCCTGTCTGGGCAGGGTGATATTCTGGAGTAGTGTTGCCCCACCACCACACCAGTGGAACTCTGAAAATTACCAGTGAGCACATATTTTGGTAATGAACAGGATAATACATGTTTTGTGGACAGAGATCTGACTAGGTGTGAAGATGTACACAGACTCCCGGATAGTAGCTACTGCCTTGCCTAAATGATCAGGGGACTGGAAGGAGCAGCATTAAGTGGGAGGAGACAGGGTTGTCCAGAATGGAGGCATGTGTATGCATAAATGATAGGAGTGGGTGCAAAGCACTGGGATCTCTGAATCAGATAGACATGTCCCCAAGATGGGCTCCTGGGTGGCTCAGTCGGATAGGCATCTGCCTTTTGCTCAGGTCATGATCCCGGGGCCCTGGGATTGAGTCTGCTTCTTCCTCTCCCTCTGCCACTCCCCCTGCTCATTTTCTGTCTCTCTCTCAAATAAATAAATAAAAACCTTAAAAAAAAAAAAAGAGAGAAATGTTCCTAAGAGAATTCCCTCTAGACTTAGTCCTTAATGACCCAGGGGACTGGGTGGCTCACTGGGTAGGTGTTAGCCGGCCTCTGTTCTTCCCTGTCCCGGTGTTTATGCAGTGGCCTACAGAGGAAGTGGCAGACATGGAGGGTGGTCGGGGGTCTCGTAACGTAGACTGAATTTCAAGAGTGACCCAACTACAGGCTCTTCTCAATGTCTACCACTTCAGCAGTGGAGACCAGCACTGAGTCCTCAGTGTTTCTTTACTTGTTCATTGTTATTTATATATTTTCTTTGAGAACTGTCTCTTCAAATTGTTTTGCTCGTCTGGAAGGGTTTTAGTATTATTTGCAAAAGTCCTTATTTATTCCACAAATAATCCTTTATCAGACACACACACACACACACACACACACACACACACACACTTCTCTTAGTCTTGGCTTGTTTTTTTCCATTACCTAATGCTATCTTTTGAAGAGAAACATTTTTAACTTTTTAAAGTCCAATGAACCTTTCTGTTGTTGTGCTTTTTGTACCTTGCTAGGAAATCTTTGTCTAATCCACAGTTGTGAAGATCTTTAAAAGTGTTTTTTTGAAGATGCCTTATGGTTTTGACTTTTGCTATTAGGTCTATGATCCATTTCGTGTGAATTACTGTGTATGGTGATGGTGTGAGGTAAAGGTCAAGGTTCATTTTTTTTCCCAAATAGATTTCTAGTTGTTCCAGCAAGATTATCTTTTCCTCAAGCAAGTACTTCTGTCCCATTAAAAGTCAATCAATCATGTATGTGTGGGTTTACCTCTGGCATTTTTTCCACCTACCTATCCCTATGCAAATACTACACCGTCCATGAGATTTGTTCCTTCCATAGAAAGTCTTGGAGTAAGAAGATGTCCAGGTTTATTCCTTTTCAGAACTGTTGTGCTATTATTGTTCTTTTTGTATTTCCACATACGCATTAGTGTCAACTTTTCGACTGCTAAAACAGCTAGTTGGGCTTTTTAAAATTTTATTTATTTATTTATTTATTTAAGTAATCTCTACACCCAGCGTGGGGCTGAAATTCATGATACTGAGATCAAGGCTCACACACTCTTCTGATTGAGTTAGTCAGGCGCCCCAGCTAGTTGGGATTTTGATTTGCCTTGCTTACCAGTTTAGAGAGACTTGATTTCTTGACAATATTGAATATCTTTTTCTTTTTTAAAGTTTTAATTTTGATTCCAGTTAGCATACAGTGTAATATTAGTTTCAGGTGTACAATATAGTGATTCAACACCTTCATACATCAACCAAGGGTCATCACAAGCGCAGTCCTTAATCCCCACCACCTGTTTAAGCCGCCCTGCTATCCACCTCCCCTCTGGTAACCATCAGTTCTCAATAGTTAAGAGTCTGTTTCTTGGTTTGTCTCCCTCTTTTTATTCCTTTGCTCCTTTGTTTTGTTTCTTACATTCCACATATGAGTGAAGTCATATGGTGCTTGTCTTTCTTTGACTGACTCATTTCGGTTAGCATTATGCTCTAGCTCCATCTTGCTGCAAATGGTAAGATTTCATTCTTCTTAATGACAATGTTGAGTCTTTTTTTTCTTTTCTTTTTAAAGATTTTATTTATTTGACAGAGAGAGATCACAAGTGGGCAGAGAGGCAAGCAGAAAGAGAGAGAGAGGAGGAAGCAGGCTCCCTGCAGGGCAGAGAGCCCGATGTGGGACTCAATCCCAGGACCCTGAGATCATAACGTGAGCTGAAGGCAGAGGCTTAACCACTGAGCCACCCAGGTGCCCCCAATGTTGAGTCTTTTTAAATGTTTGTTTATTTATTTGTATTTTAAGTAGGCTCCGTGCCCAGCATAGGGCTTGAACTCGCAACCCTGAGATCAAGAGTCGCACGCTCCACCGACTGAGCCAGCCAGCCATTTCCAATGTTGAGTCTTTCAAGCAATGAATGCGGTATCTTGTTTAGTTCTTTAATTTCTCTTAGCTAAGTATTATAGTTTTTAGTCTTCAGATCTTATACATCTATACTTACACTTAGCTCTACTTGTGTATAGTTTTTGGAGCTATTAAAATAGTATTTTAATTTTGCTTTCCAATTGTTCCTCGTTAATTTACAAAGTAAAATTCAGTTGGTATTTCTTCCTCTTCGATCTGTGTGCCTTGTATTCCTTTCATTTGTCTTACTGTTAGCCAGTTCTGAATAGAAGTTGTGACAGCATCATTGACTTGTATCACGGAAGTGTTCAGTATGATATTAAAGGTTTTTCATAGATGCTCTTTATCTGATTAAGGAAGTTCCCTTCTCTTCCCACACAGCTGAGCATTTTATTTATCAGACTTTGTGCATTCACTTATATTGTGATGCGTTTTTGCTCTGTTAGTCTTAAAATGGTGGGCAACCTTTATCATCAGATGCCCAACTTGTCATCTTAGGGTAATTCACACTTGGATGTATTGTCGGCTTTTGTTTACCAATATCTTGGTGAGGATTTTTGCATTTGGTTTTGAAGGATATTGGTCTGCAGCTTTCTTTCCCAGTACTGTCTTTGTCTGATTTGAATTTGGAGTAATGCTTGCTCATAAAATTTTTGCAAAGTTTTCCTTACTCTTCCACTTTCTGAAAGAGATTGTGTAGAATTGTATTTTTTCACTAAATGTTCAGTGGTATGTGCCGGTGAGGACATTGGGGCTAGGAGTTTTCTTTGTTGGAAAGGTGTTTTAACTACAAATGCAATTTAATATTTTAAAGAATATTAAGGTTATTTCTTCTTGAATGAGTCTTGGTAGTTTGTGTCTTTCGGAATACCATGGTCCATCCATTCAAGGATGGACCTAAATGCTATTATGCTAAGTGAAATAAGTCAGATTGAGAAGACAAATACCATATGATTCCACTTATAACCAGAATTAAAAAACAAACAAACAAAAAGCGGAATCAGACATATAAATACAGAGAATAAATTGATGGTTGCCAGAGGGGGCAGGGATGGGCAAAATGGGGGAAGGGGAACGGGAGATACTGGATTCCAGTTACGGAATGAGTAAGGCACAGGAATAAAAGGGATAGCATAAGGCATATGGTCAATGATACTGTAACAGTGATGTGACGGGACAGGTGGTAGCTACACTTATGGTGAACATAGCATATGTATAAACTTGCTAAATCACTAAGTTACCAACCTAAAATTAATGTAATATTGTGAGTCAACTATACTAAAATAAAATGAGTTGGATCATTCAACTTGCCAAATTCTGGGGCACAGAGTTTGTAGTGTTCTCTTCAGTCCTGTTAATATCGATGTGGTTTGTAGTGACATTCCGTCATTCATTCCAGATGTTGGCAAGTTGTGTCTTCCTTTTTCCTATGATTAGCCTGGCTAGGCCTGGGCAATTTTCTTTTTGTCTTATTGAAGAATCAGCAGTGAGTTTCATTGATTTTTGTTTTTTTTTTCTGTTTTTGCTTTTATTTATTTCTGCCCTTTATCATGCTCACTTTGGGGTGAGTTGCTCTTTTTCTGGTGTCTTAAGATGGAAGTTTAGGTGACTAGAAACTATTTTTTTAAAAATATGAGTTATATGTTTTAATATGAATATGCTGCTCCAACTTTCCCCCTAAACACATGTTAGCTGCATCTCAAAGGTTAGAATGTGGTTTTCATTTTCATTCAGTTCAAAATATTTTCCAATTTTCCTTGAGCTCCTCTTTGCCCCACGAATTATTTAGAAGTGTGTTGTTTAATTTCCAAATAGCTGAAGATGTTCCAGATTATCTTTCTAG